AATGTGCACTCCTCCGGTGCCAACACTGATCAAACATCAGTTAACATCAGCTAACTTAAAATGGAGTCTATTCTGTGCCAGGTACTGGACTAAGCACTTTGTAGACATTTCCTGTTTACTTCTCCAAACAACCCAAAGAGCGAGTCCCTACTATCAATCCCTTTCTATAAAGAAATTGAGACATGTGACTCCAGAGACATGCTGTTAACTCTAAGGTATAATATATGTAGTCTTTGATTTTCTCTGATAGAAAAAAATCATGCATTTTTAAATGCGTGCCCATAAAGGTATCAGAAAATTTTGAACAATCCAAAATACATGCATCAAATACTTACAATTTCTTGGGAAGACCTGCTAGTTGGCACAGAAGAATAAAACTATTGTTCAAAGTTATTCTAGGTTGCAGTTATTCTAGGCTACTATTGTTATATCACAATGTGCCATTTTCATATTCTAGTTGATGATCAAAGAAAGCCAATTAATTTCAAAGGTGAAAACCATTCATGAAACGGGAAAGGCCAAAACTAAAATTCTCACACATTGTTTATAAAGACAAATTTTAAGTCAGAACAGCTTTTTTTAGAGACTCGATTTTTTGGTACACATGTACAGCCTCCATTTTACAAAGGAGTTTTTGATGACTAAATGGGAAACCAATCTTCAACGCAAAGTTTCATTATGTGGATGGCATTGTATGACTTGCCAGGGACAACTGTCTGGAAAATCTGCTCTGCCTGACTTCTGGTTGTAATAATTTTAAAAAACCATGACAAGTTTATATTAGATCATTTAGTCTTTATAGTCTTTAGAAATTTACATTGCCAAATATTTCTACAAAAACTTTAAAACTTGTTTTGCTGCATTTAAACTAGTAATATATTCTCTTTCTACTCATCTTGTCAATACCTTCTCCCTTTCTTGATTTAGGGGACCTGGGGCTGCCATTTTGTTCCATTTGATACTGTCCACTTTCATGATGAAGTTCTTCCTCAATTCCACTTTCAGATGATTGTCCACTTAATGTTCCTTCATTCCAACTTTTACAGTTTTCATCTGAACTGTGTCTCACATGTAGCATTGATTCTATGTCTCCATCATGGCTGGTTCCATTGCAGAATTTAGACGGTGAATAATGCTGTGATATGAATCCAACAAATTTCATTCCTCTTTTAGCAGCAACATTAATCTGAGATTTAAAAAGAGATGACAGAACAAAATGTAAACTCCATTTACACTCATTACCTTATCAATTAACCTTTAGGCTCATTGAGGAGATCCCTTAGAAGATGTAGTAAACTGACTAGTAACTAAAGACTCATTCATAAACTAATTAACCTCTAAAATAGCACTGCTCCTAAGACTATATTACACTGTCATCATGACCTTCAAACAGAAATAATAAACTTTGGAAATTATGAAAATAGGAATCATATTTTGTATGACAGTAAGGTATATATTTTATATATTTTTTATGATAGCCTTTTATCTGAAAGGCTACGATTTGGGAAGAACTAATAATTCTAAAGCGTGATTTTTGAAGACCATATAATGATGGTCTCTCCAGTTGGAGCAAAATTAAAAACTATTCCAAGAAATCCCTAAAAATACAATTACTAAATACATCTTCATTAATAAAGAAGATATTTATTAATTTAAGCAAAAAACACCCAGCTTTGTTTGTTTGATGTTAATAAAAGGCTAGTTCTCGACAAATGTGTACGTATAAAGCATACCACAACTCTTATGATGCTTTCTGATTGGCTTATATCTTTATGCTATTGTCTCCTATCTGGAGCAAATACATGAGTAGATTCAATCCTATCAGTTAAAGAATAGGATTCTGAAACATAGTACATAATACCAGTAAAATAATTTGAGACCTTAAGAGTAGTTATTTTCATGTTCAGCACTTTTCCCCTTGACACATCTTTAAGATTTAGCTTTTTCTTAAATGCATACAGAAAAAAAAAAAAAAAAAAAAACCTAAGGCATTTTCCTCTCTGCTTTTGCTTCATTTCTTTGTTCTCTTTCTCCTGCGTTGAACTGGCAATTCCTTTGAGGGCAGGGACCGTGTCTTGTTCATCTTTGTATTGCAGTGTTTTATACTTACAGATGCTCCATACGTACTCATTAAATAAGTTAAAATGAAGAAATAGCAATGTCTTTTATGTGGTCACTGTATTAAACATTTAAATTGAATGTTTTCAATGTTACCTGGGAGGAAAAGAAAGAGTTATGATGGAGGTTGCAAGTGCAAACATCCACAGTTAGAATGAAATGGAATGGAAAAAGGCCACAAAGAACTGGGGCAAAATCGGAGAGCAAGGCCCAAAACGGGCAACTGCAACTCAGCCGCAGCCTATGGCGGGGAGAATTCAAAGAAGGGGAGAGGGTGTGGGTGTGTGGAGCAAGGACAAAAGACTATGGCTGATGCAATATCATTTCTGCCTACAAATTAGCATATTGAGATTATAACAATGTATGAAGCCTTAAAAATAGCTACAAATTTTCCTTTATATCAGGTGTCCTAGGAGATAAGAGGGAGGGGTAAGGAGGCATGGCATTCTGCAGGCAGAAATGAGTGAATTTATTGTCAATGCTTTCTCTAGGTCTTATTAGTTGATCTGAGAACAAATGCAGAAAGGTTTTTCTATTACTAGAAAATTTCATCTGGAAAGATCTGGTGACAAATATAGTATTAATGTCCTTTCCATTTTTTAAGTTGGAGGATTGGTACTTTTTAAATGTTATTTTCATTGGGAAATCCTGAGAAACACTTGTAAATCTAATTTTAAAATTAGAGTGAACATTGGCCTAATGTTAAAACTTGCTTTAAGGGCCGAGTGCCGTGGCTCACCGATTGCAATTCCAGCACTTTGGGCTCTGGGAGGCTGAGGCAGGAGGATTGCTTGAGGCCAGAAGTTTGAG